CCCTGTCTGATAGATATTGGGAGTTAGTTCGACACGTAACTGTGTGGTACATAATGCAACATAATAACGCGCGTTGTCGCGTGCCCATTGTATTGTACGAATTGAACACAGTGAAGACGTATGGGAGAGTGGAACTAATGGGAGTGAATATCACGACGCAATTAACCGAGTAGTGGCACTATGAACCCGGAAAAAAAACTGAGTTCATTTCTCCACCACAGCCAATATGAGCGGTGAGTGATATCTGAACTGGTCCAGTGAGCACCACCCCCTAGCCCCGCCTCTCCCAGAAACTCGCCACTGACCTGCGGAGTGAAAAATGGTCGACCAAACCCCTATGACTGACGCAGCGTGGTTAGGACTTCATCCAGCAGGGGATTGACCTATCTACACTCTATATCTAAATCAGCTCGAAGCTTCCCGTGAACCACGTGAATTATATGTCCCCCCCCCCCCCACTCTGAATCCTTCCCCTGTCCCCGCCCCCTGTGACAGCAGACGCCACTCCATGCAGAGTCGAGGCCCCTCGTGCAGACTCCTCGTCCACTATTCCTCATCTTTCCTGAACTTTTGGTCCCATCCTCATGTTCCCTTCCCATCCTGTTCTTCTCGTTTCCCATGATTTATCTTTCCCCTCTTCCCTTTACAGTTCGGTATTTTTTTTCCTTTTCTGAACATTATATCATTGACTCTACTCCCATATGCCTTTGTAAATAAATGTTGCTCGTTATTATCACATAACCACAGCACCGGTATGCTCTCTTCGTCAGCCCCACATCTCATCTCGTGCTCTACTTACACATGGTGGCCCAAGAGTCAGGACACATAAGGTTAGTATACTTATTTGAATAAAGCACGAAGGGTTATTTAATTTATTTTCACACATTTTCAAATTCCATTACCATGCATTATCTCATCTCACTATCGTTTAATGTACAGGGTGGCTCAAACGCCAGGACACATATGGTTATTATCCTTATTTTAACAAATATCAGATGGTTATTTAATTTATGTTAACACATTTTCAAGCTAACTCCCATTACCATTGATGCTTGCATGAATTCTCTTTTTGTAATTAAATCAATTTAAATTACAGCTTTACAGGTGTTTGTCAATTTTGTGAATTTTCTTTCCGTATTTAAACGTCAATCTGAAAGGGGAGATGAAAACTACCTGTTAATAATCATAATATATAGCATATTACCTTAACGAATAGGCAATTGAAATGTGCGATTTCCAGTATCAAAACGACTGAAATAACCCTGTGTGCGTCCTGAATTTCGTGTCACTCTTCATGAAGTGTCTTGCACAAGTGACATTGCGTTTCGTGCCGTGACCATCATGTATGTCTCTGTGGCCGTGGCACAACTAACAGGCACGCACAGCTGAAGGAGCTCAATACGTTTGGGCTGAAGCTTGCCAGCGTGGCCGCTGCCGCAACCATTGTTGCTGGATTTCTCGGAACACCTCAAGGGGGGTTCGAATGGGTGTGAAAGAAGTGTAACAGTAAGAGCTTTGAACCTCTTTTTCTCTCCCCACGAAACAAACGTTGCGTCAGTCGAGAATATCCTTTCTTTTTCACTTCGTTGACACCTATTCGGAGGCATTTTAATAAAACTAAAACGAAAATAAACAATATGTTTTTTTATTATTTTAGCAGGCAAGACCTACTGAGCGATATAGCTCTTTTTCAGAAGCAACCTGGCCACACATGATAGGCCATTACGTGAAAATGTATAGCAGCCAAATTCTATAAACGCATGTTTCTAAATGTGGAGGGAAAACCCGGAGGACCCGAAGAAAAATCCACACAACCACGGGGAGAGAGACACGCACACTTCAAATATACAAGAGGCGTCAGGATCGGGATCGAGCTCAAGATGTCCTGCATACCAGGCGAGGTAGTCAACATCTCGCCACCGCGGCACCCATGATAGATGTTACCGACACTGGTAAATAATACTCGTTCTTAAATAACCTCTTAACATCTCCCTCACGTCCGGAACCCTGGGGCACAATGCCACTGGCACACGCACACACACCTTGTTAATTACATGAGACCCCCCCTCCCGCCTCAATAAACTTGCGGGGTTCTTTACCATTCATAAACGCCCCCACACTGAACGTTTTTCCCCCCCACTCCTCTTGTATGCATCTATGTATATTGAACGTCTTTCGCACCGTATGTAACCAACCGTGCTAATCGGAAGCGTGGTTGGACGGACAACAAACTTAACACAAAAAAAGCAGCTGTAAAGCAATGAGGTTTTAAATCTAGGTGGTTTTAAAGCCCATCGCTCCAGCGGCCTCCTAATTATGATCGGAAGAGCGTTCCAGACGGCCGCAGAAGCGCATCTGAAAGCGCGCAATGCGGTGGCCACCGTCTTCGTTCGATGGCTCGGCCAAAAGCCGCCGCCGCCGCTGCTGCTGCTGCAAGGACCACAACCCGAGTGCCGCTCGATGGTGATGCTTTATGCTCCTTGACAAGATCGGCGAGGTATTGTCGTTCATTCGTGTCGAGCACTTTTTTTGGGTGTGCAATGAGTGCGAGCTCACGCATGGTATTTGTTCGGCGACCGGAAGCCGATGCAGCCCGTTCGCGTAATTAATCAGACGCTTCGTCAAAACGTTCGCGGCGGTTAAATCGTGACTTAACGCTGTCGTGACTGCAGGAATTCATATTCTTTGAGTCTTTCGGTAAAGTCACGTAGATAGGTTCAAAGAAAATAACAAAAAAAAAACTACGACGTTTCGATCGCAACAAATGTGTTGCGCTTGTGTTGCGATCGAAACGTCGTAGTTGTTTTGTTATTTACTTTGAACCTATCTACGCGACTTTACCGAAATACCCAAATAATATTCGCGGCGGTGTCGACAAACATGGTCCCAAACTTGCCAATGTTCTCGCCGTGGGTGGGTGGGTGCGTTCGCTTTTCGGCCGCAAAAATCTAAGGCAGTCACGTTTAATATCGGGAGCGTTTCACTAAATTGCACTAATCGTTACTAAACAGCTTCCAAATGAGGCAATTAATTAAATTGCCACGAATTCGCGTGATGATTTACGCTCCTTGGCGTGATCGACGAGATATTTGTGGTCCATTTGTGGCGAGCACGTTGCCCGATGTTCAGCCCAGTCGCCCTTGTGAAACGAGCGTCTTCGCTATTTTTTTCTTCAACTCGGGGTAAATAAACTTAAGATTCTGATTATTAAAAGCAAGGAAGGGGCCAACCCTGCGACATCCCAACGATGGGCTGCGTGACGCGTACTGCTACCCGTGACGTCGCGCGGTCTGCGTATTTGTCGTTGCAATGCAATCATCGACGTGCATAACACGCAACAATATCACGGGACCTTTTTTTTGCCAGTATCAAAGTGTGAAACATAAGAATAGGTTTTACCCTTTCTGCAAAAAAAGAAATAAACAGCTGTCAATGTGTTCAAACATCCAACAGAGATACATTTTTGCAAGGATTCAAGTCTTCGTTATCCGCACGTACTTGTAGTGAACATGCGAACAAAACATGCTCTGATAATTATACATGCATTGTCTTTGAAACTGATTGGCGTACACCAGAGACAGCCTTTTTTAGAGACAGAGACAGCCTGAAGAGACAGCCTAAAGAAGGCAACCTAAAGCAGACTGTCTCTGGTGTAGGACAATCAGTCATAAAGACAATGCATATATAATAATCAGAGCATGTTTTGTTTGCATGTTCACCACAAACACGTGTGGTTAACGCATTCTTGATTCCTTTCAAAAGGTATCTATTTGGTTTTTGAACATCTTAACATCTCTTTTATTGGCAGAAAGGGTAAAAAAGAAAATTCTTACTATTTTACATGAAAAAAATATGTTCGCGCTGTCCGGCTCTCCGAGGTGTGTGCGAGGTTGTGGATCGCGTCTCCGTTATTCAGTTAAATTCTTGAGGAGCTTCATGAAGAGACTCGCCAGAGCTTCGAGCGAAGCGTGAAAACGTCACCACCACGGTACAACTCCCCCCCCCCGCCCCCCCTCCCGATACACATTGGATGTTTTTTACAACAAAAAAACATCGGAGGCCTTGCACTTTTGTGGCCATTTCAATTTGAAAAGGAGCCGTGAATAATAGTAGGGATTCTGATATTCTGGCTTTGGTGGCGCTATGAAGTTTGAATTCGTAATGCTTTCACGCCTATGGCAATTGTGCGCTTTCGTTCCCATGGGCATGCCTGCGAGTTTACGAACAAAGGAGGTTGGGTGAGGAAGAGAGGGGGGGGGGGGGAAGACCCCTATTTCAACTTGACCTCAGCTTTGCAAACACCGGCGCCGGATTTACTTTGAGTAAATACCTCGGGGGGGGGGGGGGCTATCGAATTTAGTAGAAACTTCTAATCTTTGTCAAGTCAAAAATCTCATCGTCCTGAATGTGTTTTGTTGTTGTTGAGTGTTGCAGTTTTTGGAAGCATCCGAGATGTCAAGGTTTCTTTTTCAAGAAGATGAAAAACGAACTCCCCTGCCAGGTCGGAGCAATGGGATGAGCGTCCGACCTCTGGCACGACGTTATTTTCGCCGCTTGATGTTTCGGAGCGTGGCAGGGATTGTTGGGAGTGGAAGTGTTAAGCCGTTGAAGAACGCTCTTCGCACGTCGTGGTTGAGCGATAGACAGAATTGGGTGATCAGACTGAGGTCGGGAGATGGGGGTAGTCATAAAATAAGGCGGAGGGAGTCAACCATTAAGGGGTGGAGAAATCCCTCCCCCCCCCCCCCCCGCAAAAAAGGTCCCATATATGTAACTGCTCAACCCGCGATATGAATACTTTGATACTTGCATTGCCTTTGTACTGTTCGCCTTTGGGGTTGTTCTCTGGTCTGCCGCTGGTGAGATAATGCCACAAAGAAGGCCGTCTCTGGTGTCTGCCAATCAGTTTCAAAGACAATGCACACATTATCAGAGCATGAGTGTTTGCACGTTTTGCCACAAGTATGTGCGGTTAATGCAGACTCGATGCCTTGCAATAGGTATCTATTTGGCTTTTAAACATCTTAACGCCTATTTTATTGCCAGAAAGGGTTAAAGCCTATTCTTATTTTTTTCATCATTTTGATACTGGCAGAAAGGTCCCATAGATAAATCCACCCATCAGCACCCCGGTCCTCTTACGCCAATTCACAGAATCGCCGAGGAAAATTTGAGTGGAGCGATTCGCTCGCCCCTCTCCACTCGATTTATTTGAGGAGTTCAAATCTCTAACATTACCATTCATGATGGCACAGGTATAATGTCAATGTTAAGCTATGGCCACCGCCACCTGCCAGAGGCAATCTTCTAATGAAGTCGTCACGTGATGTGCAAATATGCAACATTGACTTGGTGCGGTTTTTCTTTTTGTATCAAATTGCAGCAGGATATATGTGGAACTGCGAACGATTGGCACGGTTGGCTAAGTACGGTGCGAAATAAGTTCAACACAGTACGCGCATGAAAACACACACTTAGACAGGTTTCGCTGGAGGTTACATCAGGCATCGTCAGGCGTTAGGATCAGCACTGCACGCTCAGGGGATAGAGCGCCTCCATCCGTGATTGTTAAGTAGGCCGGGTGACGCCATCAGCACGATGGTGCACGTGATCCAATTTAATAATTAATTAATCAGAGTTGATTGGTTGTGATTGGCAGGTTTAATGAGTTGAATCTATTTGGCGGTTCTTGAGAATGGGCAGTCCTTAATTGCATTAAGGCGCAACTGTGTTTGGCAATTAAGCTGAAGTGTTATTGCTATTGTGATTCTAGTTAACAAACCGTAACTCTTTACACCTGGTACAATCAATTATTCCTAATTATACCTTATGCTGTACCTCCTCCCGAGGTGAGTTTATACACAATTAAACTTTGCGATAATTAATATCAATCATAACCAGTGCAGCACGCTTTAATATTATTAAGGATAGCCCATTTTCACTGACAATTAAATTGATATATCGTGTTACACTGTTTTAAACATGTAAATTACAATCAACGAAGCAGCAATTAACTCTGATTATTCACGCGGTTCAACCGTGACGCTGTCCTGATGACGTCTTGGTACCTACCTTAGGGCCCAGATCAGCAATCGATCAATTCAAGATTGCTTCTGGCAGGTGGATGGTGGAGGGTTATGTCCGCTAATTGTCATTTATTATTCTCATTCTTCCCTCTACACGATTTGGCCGTAAAAGAAACCGATTATGAATCGTAATATCTGTCGTGAAAGTCTGCACGTGAAACGTAACTTCACCGTTTGCATTTGTAATCCCCATATTACTACTACTACTGCAATCTGGTGTAGGTGCAGTGGTTCGTGCACTGCACTATAAATCCCGCGAGAAGACTTCACTTCCCAGGCACGGCACACATCAGCGGTGAGCGATATTTGAACCCATTAGTCTCTCGAGGCCACCCCAACAAAACCACGATGTTTTCCTTTATTTTTCCTTATTTGCTTTTCTGTCCCCCCTTTTTTTGCTTAATTTATTACCCAATAACATTTCGTACATCGAGATGGTAAGATTCCTGTTAGGTGTCGTATTCATGGCCGGTGTAATAAAAAAACGGATTTGCTTGTTACTTCCGTGTTTGTTGGTGGGTGGTGTTGTTCTAAACCATAAGATGAACTCGTGTGCATGTGCAGGTTGATTTATTGTGCTCTATGAATCGAGAGCGATTGCTTCGGCTTGGGAGTGGCTTTCATCCATCGGTTGATCGATCATTGTTCATCGGTGTCGATTACGCTGTTTTTTTGCACGTGGCAAAATGTTCAGGAGTGAAGTTCCAAACTCAAAGTTTTGTAGCCACGAGAGCCTATTCTAGCAGAGAGTTCGTGGACTTTTGCTATGCGTCCATTTGTTGAAGGAGCGCACAAGACAGTGGTTCACTATTTAATCTATTGCTTTGGTTGGATCGCCACAGTCGCCCTGTCTTTCCTTTTTTGATGTTCTCGCTGTGGAGATGTGCGCATCGGCAACATTTATATTTCGATGTTTACACCACTGTCTTCGAGGAATGTCAAAGCCAGGTGTAATTATTCTGGACGTCCGCATTGTTCCACTCTGCTGTTCGCCAGCGTTCTTAAGCATCTGGGTGAAGTTCTCGGATGGCGACTGGACAAACGGAGAAGGCGGATACGATGATGATGATGATAACACAACGACAATTTGCATTCATATAGCTGTCAATTCAACCGCATCTCCAAATGCTTAACATAATAGAAACACAACTGTAAGCACATGACGACAAATTGTGTCCTCGATATTAACTTGAACACGGGCAGTAGAGTCTGAATTGCACAAAGTCCAATAAAAAAATGATTCCAGCCACAGGACGGTAAGCTCAGCAGGCGCCACCACCCATGGCAGGAACATTTACCGTGGCTGGCTTTGCAAGAAGAAGAAGACCTTTTTTTATTGCTACTGGACCAGAGACCATGTGCTGGAGAGTAAAGTGAGATGAGAGAGGAGAGGTAGCCAGAGCCAAGACCGTGAATATGTTTTGTTTTTAAATCTCTGCAATCTTAAAATGAATCTGAGACCTTTTTAATGATGGAAAACACTGGCGCCCGCAGACTTTGTTTGGGGTGACCTGTGGCAGTAGCACGGCACGTACACACATTTCAAAATGTTCTCTAACTTTACACTAAAACCGGTTGAGCGCAGCAAATTCGAGAGTGCGGCAGTTAGCGGCGTTAGCGCCGCTCTGGGGCTCGTTAAACCATAAACAGTCATTAAGTATAATGTGCCCCAGCCTCACGAGAAAAAATCATCCTGCTTAGCATTACTAGATGATGATGATGAGAAAGACGGTGACTAAAATTCTATTTTTGTTGTTTGTATTTATTTATTTACGGCGTATCAGGAATAGTCCATTAGACGGGACCTGAAGAGACATTTGAGATGTTTTTTTTAAATATATGTTTTTATTTTATCAAGGGGTAAGGGGTTGGATGACTTTACTGTAAAAACTCATAACATTACAATGAAATTAATTAGTGTGTTCAAGAGACACGAGTCACCTGATACAACAGGGCCCTGGTAGTATTATTTTATGCATCGTGCTAATAAATTGGATGTTGTCGCGGGGTAATTGTTAGCACATTGTGCCCGAAATTCAGAGGTCGCCGGTTCGATTTCCCGGCGCTGTCGTTGAAACGATTCCGCCCCCTCCGCTCCCCTCCACCCCCCCCCCCCCCGATCTCTATCCACCCAGCATTGTAAATGGGTCGCATCCAGGTAATCGTACGCAATTTGGAGGGGGGGCAGGTGGTAAATTGTGGGTACTCGGACACCTCCTTTAAAGACGTCTGGCCGGTGTGGAAGAATAGGCCAAAAATACCCTCTCTGGAACTCCTGCCAAGGAGTGGCACAAGCAACGCATTTGCATGGCTGCATGTTTACTTTCCCGCACCTCTGATTTAGCACGATTGGCTACGTACGGTGCGAAAGAAGTTCTACATTATCCATACTGTTAACATATACTTTGTGCGTGCAGCACATGTGTAATTTATTGCCACATATGAGCGGCATGCCCTGTCATTTAAAATTCTCATCTCCTTTTTTTGGCTTCGTGGTCCAGCCGATTTTACGTCCTGAAACCAAGCCCTTGCCTCTGACCCGAGCTTTAATGAGGGTCGCCCAGTCTGTACCAATAATGACGCATGCACAAGGGTTGCGCTATGTTTTCAGGTACTGCTGATACTCATCGCTGGCCCGTGCCCACGTTTCCTGCTGATTTATTTTTTAAAGACAAATTTGAAAAAAAAAATGAGCCTTTCTAAAACATTTTGGATCTGAATGTTTTTGCACGTTTTTAGATTGATCCGAAAATGCTGTGTCATGTGACGTGATCTCACCCCCCCCCACCAAACTTTCTTCCAGACATTATGTGACGTTGACATAGTTTTGACCGTCAAATTGACTTAAATTATTCAATGTAAAAATGTGTACATGAACATTTTCATTTTACTGATGCCATTTACGATCGCGATTCAATCTTTTATTTTATTATTGAATGCATGTACGTTGAACTTCTTTCACACCGTACATAGCCAATCGTGTTCATCGGTGATGCAGGGGAAGGACAATTCACTAAATATGGTGTATAAACAATGATATAATTTAATCCAAAAATACAAATCGGAGCAAAAAATCAGAAATTTGGCCTAAAATCCCAAATCGTAATATCTAAACAAATCTCATCTGTGCTGTATATGTATTCGCTGGGCGTATTATTATTGACTTTGATTAGCATCCCACTACAAGGTGGTAGAGTTTAAACATTTGTATTGTTATTATTTTAAAAAAAAGCCTGCCCATTTTGTCTGGCCAATCGTATGAGTGCTTCCACCCATGCTGCACTCGGCTTAATCACAGTTAGTCAATAAATAAATATTTGATTCGCTTGTGGTGTCTTTTGCTGTGTTGCCCGAAATCTGACTTCCAACAACACGGTCCTGCCTAGTGGTAGGGTTGTTGTTACCCGTCCTTGTTTTCCCAGGATTTGTCCCTCCTCTTTGACGTAGCCCTCCAAGGAAATCTGCAAATCTTCTAGGGACTTTTAGATCTCCAGGTTTTTTGTCCGTTCCATGCATAATACACCGAACAAGACGTTGCAGTAACATTTTAGGACTCTATTCGGTTGCTCTACATATTTTTTAAAAAATTAGTCATTCAGCTTTCGGTTTCCAGTCTAATATCCAGCAGCATTTGTTTAAGCAAGCAAACTCTGGACCGGGTTTGATCTTCTGAGTTTCTTTGGAAAAGTGCGGCTTGTTCAACAAATGATGCCTGGGTTCCAGGAATGCCAAATATGCTGATGGATAAAACATTATTTGTAATGAGAAGATTCAGACCTGGGTCCTGTTGCACTGTATATTTACTTGTAACCATAATTCGACACAACAGTGTGTATACATACTCTTAGCTCTTTCGGTAAAGTCACGTTGAAGGGAAACAATAAAATAATAAAATATATAACAATAAAAATAATATATATTTTATTGTTTCCCTTCAACGTGACTTTACCGAAAGAGCTAAGAGTATGAATTACTGCAGTCACGAAAGCTTTAAATTAAAATTTAGTGTGTATACATTTGCATATAGGGGCTCCCTTGTAGTATTTTGAGATAATTCTTCCCGTGATTATGTCCTGGATATTTGCACCTCCAGAGATGGCAAACCCAAGTGTGGTTAGTGTGAAGTGTTAGGCCTAGGGCCTGTTGTGCTGTTGCTGTTATGGTTATCGTGAGATTCTTCTTCCTGCGATATGTCTCGGTTAGTTCACGTCTCAGAGGTGGCAACCCTTGTCCTCTCGGCTGCTCGCATTTTTGCAAATCGTGGAGATGCAGGGCGGGTAAAATTCATTATGGAGCACATAATTGCGTCAGGGAAATCCATACCAAACAGTAATCGATGTGGAATGCCAAACAGTAACAATTAGCAAGACGTACAGCTTAATACCACATTGGAAAAGTGGTTGCAGGGGCAGATGGTGCATGAGTAGTGCACATTATCAGAGCATTTAGCTCTGCGTGGTGGCAACTGTAGATTTCCCACACACGATATAATAAAAACAACGTGAGTGTTTGTATGGGAAAGGAGCTTCGCTTTTTTTTTGTTTATCCATGATAACCTTGGCAGATGTTACAGGTGAATTTCACTCCAAAAAAGCTGAGAGGATAGCTTTATTTTAAGCAACACACTCTTGCAAATCAATATATTGGATACATAAATTAGGCAGTATAGCGGTGGCTTGATGAACACATTTGAATTTTAAGTGTCCACGGTATAACATTAGTTTCCAAAATGTAGTACTCATTAGTAGTTGAGTTTTAATGCAATATCAGTGGCATACATATTATAAAATTACTAATACTTAATAATGCTGCGTTTTTCATTACAGAGGGTAATCATAAAAATGTTCTCCATTAAACCACAACAATGTGATATTTTTGACCAAATATCACATTGTTGTGGCGCTTTGCCCTGAAGTATTAAATGTTTTGTGGTGATGTGGCCGAGCGGTCGTGCCTTCTCCATTTGTTACAGATGTTCACGGTTCGAACCCGGTGGTTTCGCTGGTTAATACTGCAGGTATTTACCCCAAACAAACACAAAATACACGCAATCTGCTTCCACAGTTAATGTTAATGATCTATAGTGATGTGTGCTGGCGTCGCGATTTATACATTTTGCCAAAATGTAAACAAAAAATCGGCAAATTTACTTAATTGGAAAACCACAACAGCATCGCCCCTACCTGCAGACTATACCAGTCTGCAAAATATATCGTGTTTTTGTGATAGCCTTGTGCTATGACAATGGCGCGAATACCAAATGCATTAACTGCCTACTATAATCACGCAGAAAATGTCTGTCCGTCCCGTGCGTACGTCACTCCACATGAGACCCACGCCCCCACGTGACGTCACTCCACATGAGGCCCACCCCCCCCCCTCATTAATATTCATGAGTGGGTGGATTTTTACACTAACGCAGAGGAAGGTCGAGCTGAATTACCTAATTAATTACTCAAAGTCGCTTCAAATATGACGTTTCTTTACAGAAAGTGACGGTAAAAAAAATAAATCTACGCAGCATTGCTACATCCGTGAGTGAAGTCACTGGAACCCCCCCCTTAATTAATATTCATGCCTGCGTGAAAATGTACACTAGCGTACGAGAAGGTCGCGCACTCCACATGCCGCACCCCTCAACTCATTAATAACCATGATGGGGTGACGTCACTCCATATGCCGCACCCCTCCACAATAACCATGAGGGGGTGACGTCACTCCACATGCCGCACCCCTCCCCAATAACCATTAGCGGGTGACGTCACTTTACATTGGGCATTAATAATCAATGGGCATAAACAATTTTTCTATTGAATATTTCAGATTGACTTCAATATACGCCCGCCCTTGGACGGGCATAAAAGCTAGTTTATTATTAGTCGTAGACTCGTAGTGGTGCATGGGTGGGCGACCACTCTACAGCCATCCACAGACACTCAGAAAAGTTAAAGGTGCAGCCCTGCAGATTTCTCCCTCGCGGCACTTTCTGCTGGAAGGGCTTCTACTTGAGGGCGCTACCAGAAGGCAGCCGTGGGGGGTATTCGGGTCTACTCGTCCACGCCTGCCAGTCGTCTTGGAAGTGGTTCGATGGTCCCACACTTTACCCCCACCACACGTCACCTGCGCGGTGTGTCACCTGCGCGGTGTGTCACCTGCGCGGTGTGTCACCTGCGCGGTGTGTCACCTGCGCGGTGTGTCACCTGCGCGGTGTGTCACCTGCGCGGTGTGTCACCTGCGCGGTGTGTCACCTGCGCGGTGTGTCACCTGCGCGGTGTGTCACCTGCGTGGTGGTGGTGGTGTATTCAGGACAACCTGCACCATTGTTGTTTCAACTGTTGCAATCGAATCAAACTGACGACCTCCCCCTGGGTTGCACATCCATCCGCGACACCAATGACGCCATCGTAACATCCATTGGGACCCTTCGAATGGGCGCGACATCACAAACGTGTGTGTGTGTGTGTGAAGACAAACACGCTCTTGCACTGTGAGAGAGCCATCACAGCTGCGCTGCGGCAATGTTGAGGGGTTCATCTTCTTGGTTCTTTCGGTAAAGTCACGTAGAAGGGAAATAATAAAATGATAAAAATGAAACAATAAAATTCTCGCGACGTTTCGGCCACAACGCAAGCAGCCGTCCTCAGGTGAAGAAACAGAGCTGTCGGAAAGACAGCGTCTTAATGAACACTGCCAAGCTTGGCAGCGTATTTGAAGCTGGGTGGGAGGAGGAGAGAGCCTTGACAAATGAGTTTACATATCAACAGAGAAATTGAGCATATTGATGACAAATGCAGATATGGGGTTAGTCACTCCTTTCGGAATGTGTAGGCGGTGGGGGGGTCTCAAAGTCATATTATGCTCGTGTATTCTGTAGAATTAGCAGTAATAAAGGGAGGGAAATTTTAATAATAAAGAACTGCACCAGCCAAACCACCACGTATCAAGCTAGTGCATTATGTGTAGAACAAAAAGGGAGTTTCTAAAGAACCACAAATACCCTACTACCATACAATAAACCGATGGAAAAAATATATATACACTACATCAATATATTCTTGGTTCTTTCGGTAAAGTCACGTTGAAGGGAAACAATAAAATAATAAAATATATATAAAACAATAAAATTCTCACGACGTTTCGACTGTAACACAAACAGTCATCATCAGGTGTGAAAAAAAACAACGGCAACAGTCATCATCACACCTGATGATGACTGTTTGTGTTATAGTCGAAACGTCGTGATAATTGTATTGTTTTATATATATTATTATTTTATTGTTTCCCTTCAACGTGACTTTACCGAAAGAACCAAGAATATGAATCACTGCAGTCACGAAAGCTTTAAATCAAAATTTACATCAATATAATCAATGTACTCAATATACTCTGCAATAAGCTGAGCTATTAACATAAAGTAACTGGGTATACACTCCACTATATAATGAATACCATATCGTAAAATGATAAAAAAACTCAAATTTAACTGCATCAATATTATCAATAAACTCAATATACTTCCCAATCAGCTGAGCTACTAACAATAAGTCACTATACATTACAATTCTATGTCGAAAAAAGTGGCGGTTTCTTTTTTTCTTTTCAACGTTAGCACCACAGAAAGCGACGAGCTTTGTTCAGACGGACGAGTCCATCTATGCTTGGAACAGAGGAGGGGGGTGAGAGAGAAACAGCCACGATGCGCTGCTCTGTCCTGTGTTACGTTACAACGATGCTATAAACTAGATTACTATACATTGCAATATTATGCCTTCCAATCTAAACTACACTGTATAAGATCGTATACACAGCCCAATGTAAGCTCTAACATGCATTATATTGATATGCCTCCAACTAAACTGTTTTCTACATTACACGACTATACACCATACTATACACTGCCATAGACAAACCCCACCATTGAATTATACAATGCGTTACTATACACTATCCTATACTGTAGACTATAATAATATTAGACTTGTAATACACTACGTATTATTCTACCAACCCTACTATATACAACACTGCTGTATATTCACTATACAATTACGATACTATATATTGCCTTATACATTCTATTAAACATTGCACTATACTATTTATTATTATTATACAATATGCTATAAACCATACCATTAACCGTCGCGTGAAAGGTACCGAAATAACCACGAAGATGAATCCCTGCGGTCACGAAAGCTTTAAATCGAAAAATGTCGAAGGGATTGAAGACATTGCTGTTTTGCTGGATAGGCTGGTGGAGATCTGAGTTGGGAGCCAGCTAGGACGGCTGTTGTTGCGTTCGGATTAAATGGCTTTGTTTCATCC